CACGTAGCTAGGAATGAGGTTTATTGGGAGAGACGGCTGTGGAAGACCAAGGGGAAAATACCTGGAATCAATGGGCACAGGGCCAAAACACCCAGGGGAGCACAGAAAGCACAGTACTAGGAGCCACGGCACTTTCAGGGTCCATGAAAATGTTTTATTTCAAAATCAGAAGAAAAGGGAATGATGTTGTTATTGTGTAGTATGGAATCGATTTTCAACTCACTGCAAACCCAGGTGACAGCATTTCTAGAACAGCATCATCATAATAACAGTAATGAATATGTAATAATGAATCCAGTCTACATTATGTTGTCTGTATACCAGTGCCATCACAAATATCATCTTGAATACATGTTTATGGAGGAGAGGCCCATGAAAGTCAGAATGAGGCATGCAAGTCTGATACCTATGAAGAAAGATAGGCCAGGCTGGTGGGGAGATGCTGAGGTGTCTCAATGCCAGGGCAGAATCACCTGTTCTAGCAGCTCTGCTTAATCTTTGACTAGAAGCAGCCCAGAGTGGCATAGTCCTGGGAGTGGTCCACCTTCATGTTCCCCACAATGAGGTCTTGAGAACAAGATACAACATATTATAGCTTTTCATCCAGTAGCTTCTGTGGAATATTTTAGATGGACATTTCCTGGGTTAGCTGTAAACAATAAGGTTTGATACTTCCTGGCTGTCTCTGGGGTTGCAACCTACCTTGTGATTGGACTAATTTGTGCACCTTGCAACAATTGGTCAATATACGATAGACTATGCAAATGAAGTGACTATGGGCCGGTGGGTGGATTTGTCAGTTGGTGGGCCTGCTGGAAGGCAGGATCAGTCTTGGCTTGATAGTCACACTGTGATAGTGATTCTCTCTTTTGAAGCTTCAGAGTATTTCAGATATAAATTGAGCCATGAGTTGATAAATGTTGAAGCCAGAGATGGCCACATGGAGGTTCATTTGTTGTTGTTTGTAGGTGCCGCTGAATCAGTTCTGACTCGTAGCGACCCTATGCATAACAGAACCAAGTACTGTCCAGTCCTGCACCAGTCTCACAATTGTTACAAATAAGCTCATTGCTGCTGCCATTGCGTCATCAGGGGTCTTCCTCTTTTTCACTAAGTCTCCACGTTGCCAACTATGATGTCCTTCTACAGGGACTGGTCCTTCCTGACAACATGTCTGAAATATGAGAGACAAAGTCTTTCCATCCTGGCTTCTAAAGAGCATTCTAGCTGTCCTTCTTCCAACACAAATTTGTGTTTTTTTTCTGGCAGTCCATGGCAGTCCATGGTACTTTTAATATTCTTCTCCAACACCATAACTCAAATACATCAATTCTACTGTCTTCCTTATTAATTGTCCAACTTTCACATGCATATGAGGTGATTGAAAATACCATGGCTTGGATCAGGCACACCTTAGTCCTCAAACTGACACCTTTATTATACTAAATACAGGATAAGAACGACTTTTTTCTTGCTAGTAAAATATGCACACAAAAAGGCAGGACTGTCAGCTGTAAAGAGCTTGATGAATTTTCAAAAGTCTAGTCCTAGTGTAGCATTGTAGGATAAGCACTGCATTGCTGAATGCAAAGTCAGTGGTTCAAACCCACTAGCCATTCCTCAGAAACCCTATACAGAATCACTATGAGTCAGAACTGACTTGGCAGCACTTAACAACCACCGCCACCATGTAAAGAAACAACTTTACCCCAGCCTTGTTTGGGTGACAAGATTTCTTGTCACCTGTTCTTAAAAGAGTACAAAGAACTTCACTATAACCTCTTCACAATTTATAGCATCACCCCAGTATGTGTTTTGAGTGAAACTAAGACTTTAAATTAAAAATAGATAGAAATTGGTACCTCATTACTAGAATATGTTGGTCAATTAAGACTGAATATAAAAATGAGAATTTTGGAAGGTTGACTCCAGATACCTCTCTCCAAGAGTCGTTGGTGGACTCTGGGCCCAGAGAGCTACCTCCAATAGTGAAGTCTTGGCGAAGTGGGGAAACTATGTGGCAGAATGGGGAGACCCTGGGCTTTGGATTGAAGAGAACTAAGTTTGAATCTTGCTGTACCTCTTGTTAGTCCTCTGACCTTGGACACGCCACTGACTTTCTTGGGCCTCAATTTCATAATCTCTAGAGTGAGAATCAAATATATTTTTCATATAGTACTAAATGAGATTATGTATGCAAGTGCTTAGACTATGCTGGCATGTTGTAATTACCCAATCTAATTACACAGATAATGACATGAAGTAATGCCATTAATGACTCTAGTACCATGCTTGTCTCAGAGTTTGTTTTGTATATATGCTAGCTCTTACAATTAGCAATTTTGTGTCCATGTGTTTAAGTCACAATGACAGAAAATTTCTGTGCATTGTCATTTCAATAGAATGGCCTTTCTGTTTATGAGTTGAAAACAATTAGAGTTTAATATCTTTGTTTTTCTTACCTGGTTGCCTGGTTCATAATAATTCATTGAACATTTAGGCTTGGTATACGATTGGTCTTCAACAAATGATTATTTAAAAACATGAATAAGGCCAAAGCAAGTCTGTCACCTTACTTTGGCAGACGAAAAAATGGACAGATCAAAACTCATTTTCTCTTATAGCAAATTATCCAACCCCTGAATGATCTCCGTTGTAGCATAGTGGTTAAGAATCGGACTGTGAACCTTAAGGTCAGCAGTTGGAAACTACCAGCTGTTCCACAGGGAAAAGATAAGGCTTTCTGCTCCCGTAAAGATTTACAGCCTCAGAAACTCTGTTCAGGGTGGCTATGAGTCAGAACAGACTCCATGGCACATAACAACAACAATAATCCTCTTACCAAATCACATAACTGTGAATAACTGCCGGTATCAGTTACCATCAAATTGACTCCAACTCACAGACACTGAGTTGTCTGAGTAAATCAATACCTGATTTTACTCAAGTTGATTACCAGGACTTTCTTCCAAGGTGGCTCTGGGTAGACTCCAACCTCCAACCTTTTGGTCAGTAGCCAAGCTTATTAACTGTTTGCACCATCCAGAAACTCTACGCAACTCTGAATCAACAGATCACCAACTCGGATGCTCAGAGGAGGCAGCATATGAATGAAATCATTTGGAATAAGGAAAAAACAGAGGGTGATGAGCCAGTTGCCAGCATGTGACATCGCACAAGCATATTTCACCAATGATGAGAAATAGGGATCAGGGTCCTCTAGAAAAATCAGAGAACCTGTGAGCACAGGGGCCAGAGTCTCAAGCTGGACAACCAGCTGGCGGCAAGTTGCCTGGCCCCTTGACTAGGTCTGTGCTCTGCCCACCACTGAGCCAACAGCCTCTATTCACAGCTGAGGCCATCAGCTCAGTGCTGCCAGCTCTTCCCACTGAACCTCCAATCCAGACTTTCATGTCAAATCCAGCAACTTTTAAATGACATCCTCACCTCTCTGCCTCCTAGCTATATATTTTTTAAACACTGTGTAAAATGAAATATATCTACAAGCTAGATACAGTTGAAGGGGTTATATTTTGCAATTTCTGGGTAGAGATTTTAAAGAAAGAATCAGATTGTCATTCAGACTGGACAAAATTCAAGAAACTTCTTCCTATTCCAAGCTTGAATGCCCACCAAGGCACTCCTGGTGGCCAGTTGACCACAACTAGAACACTTTTCTAATCCCTGAGATTAGGAAAAAAACGTTCAGAGTAGTTCCTGAACTTTTTTATTCAAATACACTGGCACCCCAGTATTCTCCAAAGATGGCCCTTGGCTTGGCCACATACCAAAGGCTTCCTCTGACTCAGCTAGTAACAGAAAACTCATGTGACCAATTAGCCTCTATAATATTCCTCCATTCACTGAAAACCATGAGTATGAAAGACCGAGATGAAATCTTTAAGCCTATCAATGAAACTGAATCCAGCTCTAAAATATTTCAAAGAGGGTACAGGGTGGAAGAGGGCTAAAATATAATATAATAATAATATAATATAATATAAAATCCTATTTTCAAAACATTCTTTTGGGGACCATGGAGGTGGGCCACTCAGATCTCTTTTGAAAGAACCATAGTTACCAGACAACCTCTAGTTGCCTCACCTTTGTATCTATACCTTTCTGGGCTGCTCCTAGTAGGGATGAAGCAGAATAGAGACACCTCAGCCACTCCGCACCAGTCTGGCCTCTCTTCCTTCATAGATGTCAGACTTGCAAAAGGCTCCCTCTACCTAGGGCCTCATGCTAGCTTTCACGGGTATCTCCTCTATCAACATGTATTCAGGATTCTATTTTATGATTGCATTGGTATACAGACATTATAATCCAGAATGGATTCCCTGTTACATATTCATTATTGTTATTAATAGGATAAGCACTGAACTGCAAACCACAAGGTCAGTGGTTCAAGCCCACCAGTCACTCCGCTGGAGAAAGATGAGGCTTTCTGCTTCTGTAAAGACTCTACAGGGTCCCTATGAGTCGAAGCTGACTCGATGACACTTAGAAACAATTCTAGAAATGCTGTTACATGGGGTCGCAATGACTCAAAAATCAACTCCTTAGTACACAGTAACAACAGTATTCATTTTTTATTCAAGTTGGCCGGAAGTAATAAATCCTCTGGAGTAGAGAACTAGGACAAAGGTAAGTCGTCAGGATTTCCTTACTGTTGTTGCCAAGTGCCGTCTTAAATTGGTTACAACTCATAATGACCCTGCACAGGGTTTTCAAGGAGTGACTTGTGGGTTTGAACTGCCAACCTTGTGGTTCACAGTCCAGTGTTTATCCTACAGTACCACACCAGCCTCAGAGGTTAGGGGTACAATATCTCAAGCTGTATTTTCATCACACATGGCCAGTCTTGCTTCTTCTATAAACCCACCCAATCCCTCTCCACCATTCTCATTGGCTTATTTTAAAAGAACCCCAGAATCATTCCATTTTCTCTGACAATACCCTGGCATAGCTTATGCTGTTTCTCTGTATGATTGTTTTAGGCCACTACATGTACGTGGACTCGATTTACGTCAAGCACTTCCAGGAGGTAGCTCAGCTCATCTCTCCAATGACCACAGTCCCCATGTCTGGCTGCCTGTCATTTTATTATCAACTTCAGCAGGGGAATGACAATGTCTTTTCCCTTTACACTCGGGATGTGACCGGCCTGTATGAGGAGATCTGGAAGATGAGCAGTCCAGGGAACACAGCCTGGGCCCTTGCAGAGGTCGAGTTCAGTGCACCGTATCCCATGGAGGTAGGTGAACAAGGCATGCTCATCCCTGACTTCCCTGGAGCGATGCTCGTCCACCCACAGACAGAGACATCACGAGACTTCACTCAAGTATCACACTTCTTACTTTCCACCGTGTCTCAATCTTAATCTTTCTTTGCCCTTCCTTGGTCCCCTCCACATTCCTCCTCATCTGAATTCCCTTTCTTTATTTTTTATATCATTTTCTAGCAAGAGAGGAATTCAGTAAGGACAAAAATGGAAAATTCAGTTAAGTAACTTGATATTTGGGGCAGATTCTTCCTTTGAACCTTATATTGTCCTGATGGACAATTGAAAAGAGGAGAGCGGACCAAGGAAAATCATTCTTGAACTTTCATTCCTTGAAAGGAGTTTGGAAAATTTCTTTCATTTGAAGGAAATGCCTTTCTAGAGAGAAAAAAGAAAAGAAAAAAAATTTACTTCCTTCTTCTCCCCTTTACAATTTGAACCAAAATTTGATAACTCAGTTTTAAATTTTAAAATTGTTATACACGTTATAAATGTTAATGCAAAAAAATTTTAAAAACCAGGAAAGCAAAACCAGTTTAAAACAACTTTGCAAAGATGAAGGCAATGAACGTTTTGTGTGTTTATGCTTGCAGATTTTTTTAATTTACAAATCATAGTTTCATTTTTAGTTTATTTTATTGTTAAGAATATTCACAGCAAAACATACACCAATTCCACAGTTTCTACATGTGCATTTCACTGATATTGATGATATTCTTTGACTTGTGCATCCATGCTCACATAACTTTTGTTTTCTGAATTGTTCCTCTTCCATTCGTATAAATGTACTGTCCTCTGTGTTTCTTGTCTCTACCAGTCATCTGTCAGTTTGTTGTACTTTGGTAACTAATCTGCTGCTGTGATGTTGCAACCGGGGTTTTAAATATCACCAGGGTCACCCATGGTGGACACTTACAGAAGAGCATCCAGGCTAAGACAGGAGACAGGGAAGGAGAAGCAAACCACTTCTGAATGACTAGCCATGGAAAACCTTAGGACTAGCACCTGAATACTGTCAGATAGAAGGAGTTCTGGTAGCATAGTGGTTACAAGTTGGGCAGCTAGCTCAAGGTCAGCAGTTTGAAACTATCAGCTGTTCTGAGGGTGAAAGATGAGATTTTTCTGCTCCTGTTAAGATTTACAGCCTTGGAAATCTTACATAGGGTCACTGTGAGTCAGAATCGACTCCACGGCACATAACCACCACCACCGTTGTCAGATGTAATGCCAGAAGATGAGCCACTCAAGTTGGAAGACACTCAAAATATGACTGGAGAAGAGCTGCCTACTCAAAGAACAGTTGACATGAATGGAGCAAACCTCTTAGGATCTTCATTTGCTGACAGAGCATAACTCAAAATAGGAAGAAACTGCTGCAAACATTAATAATTGGAATATGGGATGTATAACATATGAGTCTAGGAAAGTTGGATGCTGTCAAAAATGAAATGTAATGCATTAGCTGAAATGAATTAGTATGGCCATTTTTAAGCAAACATTGAGAAAAAATGGGTATTCCAAAATACTTAGTTGTACTCAATAGGAACTTGTACATTGACCAAAGGCAGTTTGTTGTTTGATCAGAACAAGGGGATACTGAATGGTTCAAAGTCATGAAAGTTGTGTACCAGATTTGTATCCTTTCAACCACACATATTCAATATGTAGACTGAGCAAATAATCCAAGAAACTGGACTATTTAAAGAAGAACATGGCATCAGGATTGGAGGAAGACTCGTTAACAACCTGCAATGTGCAGAAGACACAACCTTGCTTGCTGGAAGCAAAAAGGATTTAAAATATTTACTGATAAAAATGAAAAACTACAGCCTCCTGTATGGATTTCACTTCAAAGTAAAGAAAGCAAAAACCTTCACCACTGAACCAATAAATAGCAGCCACATGAATGAAGAAAAGATTGAAGTTGTCCAAGACTTCATTTTGGTTGGATCCACATCAACACTAATGGAAGCAGCAAACAATATATTGTATTCGGCAAATCTGCTGCACAAGACCTCTTTAATGTGTTAAAAAGCAAAGATGTCACTTTAAGGCTAAGGTGTACCTGCCCCAAGGCTTCATATGAATAAGGAAGACCAAGGAAGAATTGATCATTTGGATTTTGGTGTTGGATAAGAATATTGAAAGTACCATGGAATGCCAGAAGAACAAACAAATCTGTCTTGGAAGAATTACAACCAGAATACTCCTTAGAAGCAAGGATGGTGAGACTTTGTCTCTCACTCTTTGGACATATTATCAGGAGGGACCAGTTCCTGGAGAAGGACCTCATGCTTGGTAAAATGGAGGGTCAACAACAAAAAAAGAGGAAGACCCCCAACAAGATATTGACACAGGGGCAGTAACAATGACCTCAAACATAGCAACAATGATGAGGATGGAGCAGGACTGGGCAGTGTTTCATTCAGTTGTGCATAGGGTCGCTACGAATTGGAATCAACTTGATGGCACCTGAAAACAATAACAATGAGATCTGACAGGCCTTACTTTGCTCTTGCAGTCCAGTAGAAAATTTTCTGTGTATTTATGTTACAAGAAGGAAAAGTCACGCACACAGTGACAGGATTTTCTTTGCAGACTTTGCTGAATTTTTCATTTAATCAATACTTGAAAAGTTACAATTCAAGACACTACGAAACCTCAATACATATCCTTTTGGTCCACATGTGTTGATTTTACTCTAGTAGTCTGAACCCTGGTAATTCTTTGTCCTCCCTAATTACCAGGAAAAGAACTTTGTTCTGCAGAAATCAGTGAATTGAATGTCACCACATTCTCAAATGAATTTGAAAAATAAAAATAAGTATTTGAGACACTCTTTCTAAACATAAAGGACCCATTGCTGCTTCAGCAATGATTTGCATATTTTGATGCAAAAAAATTTACTCTTATTCCACCTGGTAAGTAAGATCAAGTCTGTCATTCATTTTGTTCCTCAGATGGCTCCCTGAGAATGAAATGTCATGAATCTGTGTTCATTTGTCAGCTTAATTTCTCCTTTCTCATATGCCCAAACTGGTTCCCTTCACTAAAATTCTCTCCTTTGCCGGAGGTAAGCCCCCAGACCTTCCTTGGATTTTGGAGAGTGAAGGTATGAGGACCATGTAGACCCCTGATGTTAGACTGAAAGGGGCCTTGTTGCTGTTTTTATCAAGTGCCATCGAGTCGGTTCTGACTCATAGCTACCTGTATAGGGTTTATAAAGAGTAGCAGGTAGGTTTGAACTGCCTACCTTATGGTTCACAGTCCAATGCTTTATCCTATACCAGGAGTCAGAAAGAGTCCTTAGGAGTCATATTTTCCCACTCTATTTTATTTTCTTTTTATAAGAAATGAAGGCAGTGAGGAGACAAGGTGACCTCTCTAGCTAATTAGTGACTAACTTTGGACACCAACCTGAATATGAGTTCAAGAGGTCAGCCTGGAGGACAAGGCACTAATTTAGTTCAGAGTTTATACACAGAAAGTGGACGGTCAACACAACAGAGGATGACCCACAAAAGTGGACTGACACAGTGGCAGCAACAGTGGGTTCAAATATAGTAATTGTGAGGCTGACACAGGACCTGGCAATATTTCCTTCTGTTATGCAGAGGGGCTTCTGTTGTGTATAGGGACGCTATGAATCCGAACTCACTCAACAGCACCCAAACAGCAACAAATATCCTGTGCTGAAGTCAGTATATTCAGCAGCCAGATTAGAAGGTTGGAAGTTCGAATCTACTCAAAGGTACCTTGGAAGAAAGGCCTGGCCATCTATTTAGAAAAATCAATCATCAAAAACCTTATGGAGCGTGCTTTTCTTTTTTT